CCAGGTAAGCAACCAAAAGGTTATGACTCCCGCACTTCTCCGGCCCTCCACCCGGCTGACACCTTCATAGACTTCTTCAGGGCCGCATACACCGCCCGCAGCTCCTGGGGGTCGGGGATGGCCTCGGGGCAGATCACCGCGAAGTTCACGTTCACCGACAGCATCACGTTGGTGTGGTAGATGGCTTTCCCCTGCCTGGCGAAAGCCAACTTTTGGGCCAGCTGAGTGGGTCTCCAGCAAAGGTGAAACAGGTCTGGCGATTTCTTTGGCCCAACGGGCCGATGGATTCAGCTTGCCACCTGAAACATGAAAGACGACAATCAACTTGCACGCCAAAACCATGTTGTCAAAGTTGGCCCTTCTTGAGCATCGGCATCCTCTGCCTGCAACAGTAAGGCATTCCAGAAAGAAATTGGTTTCAGTCCAGGATGGGATGCCACGCTGAGAGCTCAGCGTTGAAAAGAAAGGGATTGAAACAACGTACTGCGGCAAAAACATGCCGGTAAATCTGCACCACTCACCGATAAAAAAATGCGCACACCCTGCTTTTCAAGGTTCTTGGCACCTGTCTTTGGCCTTGAAGGTGACAAGCTCATAGCCCATCTCTTTCGCCCAGACCTACAGGCGTGGCCGCAACGTTTGCAACTGGCTCTCTTGGGCGTTCCTTACACTGAAATTTGATGTTCTCAATGCGAGAATTGATGTCACAAATGCACTTTCCAGGCCCAAACTGTTGCCACCAAGTGCCATCCCTGCCCTTGAGCCCCGCCTCTGCAAGGTTCTTGTCCGCACGCTTGGACAGGGCCACGTAGGCGGTCCGGTTGTACCGGTCCAGCACCAGGCTTCCCGTGCCCTCCAGCGCCACCCCGCTTTTGGCCCACTCGCCTCAGACCCACACTGCAGAAACCCTTCCACAAAAGGCGAGTTTGGCCGGAAGCATCCCAACTTGCCAACACCAACCCAAGCCTGCAATGAGCTAACGCGGGCCCAGCTGCTGAGGTTATAGATGGGCTCTGCCAAGTCGAACTCCTTCCGCACCCGCTCCACGATGTCGGGACGGATCTCTGCGGCTCGCGAGGGCACCTGGAGCCCAGGAGCCCAGCCCCAAAAAACGGCTTCGAGTGGAGCAATTTTCAGTTTTTGTTTCCCGCTCCCCGGCCACCGCGACCTGAAAACCGCTTTCCGCGCCTTCATGGGATAGATGACCAACTGGCCATCCCCGTGCGTGGAGAACCAGTTGTTTGGGAAGACCTCGTCAGGCAGTCCTGCACACCAAGAATCGCAAGGCGCAGCAGCATACGCACAGGGTCTCCTGAAATTGGTGTCAAGAATGCGAAAACTGCCGATTGCGAACAAAGAATAGGACTCGTACACAAAGGAAAATACATGTTTGCACCATGACTGGATGCACCGACTTGACTTTCAAAAGCTGCTTTGAGATGCCGGGGCCACACGAGTCACAATCAAAACCTGCTATTAACATAGGCGGCCGCACATTTATGGCCGGGATTGCCCCTTACTAACCTTCATCTAGCTGGGTTTTGACTGTGGCTCACTTGGAGAAAGGGCGCCCCAAAAGTCTGTCCTGAACAATTCATTGTGGTGGAACCCACACTCGGACATACCAAAAACAGGTGGCCGGCCCAAACAGGCAACTACGCTAGACATGATTCAACATGGTCTGACGTCCAGTCATGGGAGCAATGCCAGCGTGTGCTGAAATGCTCGCACTGGCTGGAACCCGACCCATAGCAGTCCTTTTGCCGTCGCTGTCAGCACCTCCACCCCGGCCTCCCGCAGCAAGTCCCCGAGCCCCTGTGCGAGAGTGCACTGCGTAGGTGTACCGTGTGTGCTTGCCACCGTTGGGCCTCTGCCTGGTCAAGGTTTGGCCTGAGCCTTGGCCCATTGGCTTTATTCACTGCCTCTCCTTTGGGGAGCTCTTAGGGGCGATCTCCAAGCGGACAGCCAGCAAAGGTGGCCGAGGCAAAATATGACAAGGCTGCGGTAAAACCGCTAGTTTCAACTCGAGATGCGACAGCGGGATCCATTTCTCAAACGCAACCATGTCGCCATCCAAGTGGAAGGACAAGGGCTATGGGGCCCTTGCCTTCCAAAGCCCCTTCAATCCCTCCAAGCCTTCTCATTTTCCATGTGGGAGCTACCTCGAACAAAGCCCTCGCCAACCCGCCTGCCACTCCGCGTGCACCACCTCCTGCAACTGCTCCTTGGTCATGGGCTCGCTGAGCGTGCCCATGAACGAGTTGTCCTTGGTCAGCCACGGCCGTCCCCAGTGAGAAGAATAACTGTTGAACCGGGCCGGGAAAAGCGCTGCATGGGCCCAGGACACTAAACCTACAGCCCTGCGGGGCAGTTTTCTGACCCAGGACAAGATTGCAAACAGAGTAGGCCCAGAAAAGAGAACAAGAAAAGAGAAGAGAGAGAGAGAGAACTAAAGAGAGAGAGAGAGAACTAAAGAGACAGAGAGAGAGAGAGAGAGAGAGAGAAAAAAAAAGAGAGAGACAAGACTAATGAAAGAGAGGGGGAGAGAGAGAGAGAGAGAGAGAGAGACAGAGCAGAGAGAGAGAGAAGAGAAAGAAGAAAGAAGAGAGAGAAGAGAGAGAAGAGACAGAAGAGAGAGAAGAGAAAGACAAGGGCAAAACGGAAAGAGAGCGAGAGAGAAAAAGAAAACAAAACGAACGAACGAACGAACGAAAGAACGGAAGAAAGACAGAAAGAAAGAAAGAAAGAAAGAAAGAAAGAAGCAAAGAAACAAAAACAAAAAAGAAACAAGAGAAGACGGAAAGGGAGAGAGAGAAGAGAGAGAGAGAGAGAGAGAGAGAGGAAGGGAAAGATGGTATGGTTTCTTCTGAAAGTGGCTTGTGCCATGCTTTGGCCAAAGATTAAGTGTTATCAGTTGCCTGGAGACGGCTTTGCCGAGCTTGAGATCAACTATTCCTCCCTCGGCATGCAGGACACATGTGGCTCCGATCAAACGGTTGCATTTCAATTGGGGGAGTGCTTGTCTTTTCATTCAGCGCACGTGTTTTTGCCAACAACCTGTTGGGCGTCTCCAATCAACTTTGGCAAAAAGCAAACTATCCCCAAACGCAGCTCGAGCCCTTGAATATCTGTCCACGTGTATATACATGTATATATATACACACCTATGTGCATGTTGTATGTATATCCTCCGGCCCTGCCTGCATGGTCTCCTCGTTGGAGCAAAAGCCCTTAGGCTCCACCATGAGCACGCTATCCTCAGCTGACGCCAAGCGGCACATGGTCTTGTGGTTGTCAAGACAGGCTGAGGGCAATATCGTGATGCTCAATGAATCCCCAACGAAAATCCAAGGACAAGCTGACTTGCTTGGCCTATGCCCATACAAAAGAGCAACCTCAAGCTTGAAACCCGGCAACAACTCCACTGGGCGTCTGCCAAGTTCTCCTCCATCACCGCCTGCGCCCCTGGGAGGCCCGTGACCCCTGCATAGTGCCGTGCGACCCCTGGGGCCACCCCTCGGGCCACCCCGGGGATCAGCGGCTGCCGCGCGTGGAGCGGCGCTGCCAGGCCCCGCAGCCATCGCGGCCCGGCCAGGCGGCCCCGCCAGCAGCGGCCCAACCGGCTGAAGCGCACGGCCATGGCGCGACTTGGCCCGAGCCCGCGCCGGCTGTAGCTTTCAGTCGCTGGAAGAGGCCATCAAAGGCTCTGGTTGCTTTCATTTGGCTGGAAGTAAAAGCTCAGGTGGCTCAAGAAGGCCAGCGAAGGGCGGCGAATCATGTTGAACCGACAAGCACTACGAACCCTTGCCATCGTGTAAATCCTCGTCCTTAACAGGGGACGATGCTCAAGACCAGCGTGCGTGCGATGCTTCAAGGCACCGTGGACCTTGTCTTTGTTGACTGTCTGGTGAGCGCTGACATACACCTGAACCTTCACATCGCACAATGCGTTTGGAGCGTGCCTTCTCCACCAGGCCATCGAAGTCCCGATGGTCGTCCCACCTCATTGAAACTCGTGCTCTGTGAAGGGGAGGGCTTGTGCATTTGAAAAGAATTGGCATGGATCCACAAGCAGTACCAATTCCACACTGCCAAAGGTACGGCCGTTCCAATTCACAAAGGTTTTGGATGCTGGCTCGTTGCATCCTTCAAGCGGCGCAGCCCAAGGCCCTGACCACCTCTTCCGCAGGGCCCGGACCTGCGTAGCCGCAGCCCAGCCCTATTGACTCAAGCGGGCCAACCCCTCGAAGTCAGAGGGGTCAACAGCAGCGTGAAGTTTACTATGCCAACAGGGCATGAACTTCGCGCCAGTCCCAGCACTGGACACACTGGACATGCACTTCGTGAACGCCTTCTCCTGCTGCTCCTTGAGCTCTTTCTTCATTTGGAGGTACCTGCGCTTGCAGGTCAGAATGCCCTTGCTTACCTACCGCACCATGAACAGGGGATACCCTCCACCACTAGCACTTCAGGTCGCCAAGCAAGCTGCCTTTCCATGAATCCCCTGCTGGTCTACCAAACCCGACCCAGATCACTCCGCCGGCGCTTTCACTTCTTCCTCGTGGTGCACACCCAAGATCTCCCTTACCTCAGCCAAGCTATGTTTTGTGCTTCTGCTCTCCGTCTTACATCAGGAGATGTTGCCGTGGGGCCATCCAACAAGAGCAGCAAGCCCGGGGATGATTGATTCAATGCACTCAATTGGCCTGGGGTCGCGCACGTCATGCAAGCAAACTTGGCGCCTCACTGAAGTTACGACCTGATCTGCGTCGCCACCTGCCGCTCGATGCCCAGCTTCTACATACAAGCAAGGCAAAGGCCTTTGTCCAACGAATTTGTGAAGGAAAATAATGTTTGGTTGGCGGCGTTGAAGTTTTTTTTGGCTGGCAGGCTTCTTGTAAAGTCACGAGAAGAAGAATGACGCCAAACTCCACTTTTTGCCCACGCACCCATTCATTGCAACATATCGCAACCTACCCAACCAAAGGGCAAACCCCCCCTGCCTTTGGACTTCATCAAGGTCTTCAGCTTTTTCAACTTTGCATCCTCGTATTGACCCCGGCTCTCTGGCTTGCGACAGTATCACTCGGCGACGGCCGCCAGAGGCTCAATTAGGGCTAGCACAATATCATGGATCTCGTCCCGCATCTCCTTCCGGGTATTGCAGGGCAAGCTTGGCCCCAACGCTCCAGGCTTGCATTGGGGTGCCCGAGATGCCCCGAGATCACAGAAGGGAGTCGCTGCATGACTCGGCAAATTCCTTGATGTCCGATGGGGATCGCCAAGCAAAAACGCTAATCAAAAGCACCCAGGTCCATCCTCCGTCTTTGTCTGGGTCCGAATCAGCTGCACCACAGTTGCAGACGCCTCAAACAGAATCAAACTCGCAAGTTCAATGGCTACCCCTGCCATGAACTTGGCGTCGACACACCGAAAAGCAGATAACAAGCCATTGTGCGGAACACGTGTCTGTACATCAAATTCTGTCACAAGGTCTGGCTCCGATTTATTATTTAAAAAATGGCAAAGAAGAAGAAGAAAAAAAACACCAGCATAGACCCCAAATAGCAATGATTGCACACCAGCACCTCCAACAGCACCCCCTGAAGAGCGTCCCAAACAGCACCCGGCCGTCAATCGAGCACCCGCGCCATCACTAGCACCCCCCAAACAGCATCCCAAAACAGCACCTGCAGCAGCACCCCAAACTGCATGCCCCCTGCACCCTGCCGTCAATCTCGCAAATATGCGCCTGCACCGTCACCCTAAGAGCACCTCAAACAGCACCCCCCCCAAACACCCAGCCGCACCCCAAACAGCATCCCAAAACGCCACCTGCACCAGCACCCCAAGCTGCATGCCCCCTTGCACCCTACCGTCAAAATGAAAAAATGTGCCTGCACCGTCACCTGCATGCCCGATAGCCCGGGCGTCAATATCGCAAATTGCGCCCGCACCGTCACCCTCAAACAGCTCCCCAAACAGCATCCCAAAACACCACCAGCACCAGCACCCCAAACTGCATGCCCCCGTGCACCCTACCGTCAAGATGCAAAAACACGCGTGCACCGTCACCCCAAAACGGCACCTGCACCAGCACCCCCAAAGTGCTACCGTCAATCTTGAAAAGATGCGCCCGCCAGCACCTCAAACAGCACCCCAATCCGCAAAAGCCAGCACCCCAAACTGCACGCCCCTTAGCACCAGCCCATCAATCTCGCAAATAACTTCTCTCTTTTTGCTAGAAGTTAGAACCTTTATAGCTTTCAGCTATCTGGGGAAGAAGGAACCAAACCGCGACCACGCATGTCGTCCGCCTCATCCGTTTCTTCCCCGGGCTCGGCACCTGGCAAGGCACTTTGTGGCCCTGTCCAGGACATGGCGAACAGAAACGAAACTTCAGATTTCTTTGCATGTTGCAAAGAAGGCTTTGGGCTCAAGACAGTAAACGCTCAAAATCATGCCACAAGATGCATTATTGAAGCACGGGAAACACTGTGTGAGAAACGTGAGAAACGGCATCACCTCTAAGTGCCCCCACCGCCATCTCGTGGGCTCGCAGGGATAGCAGGGCTTGTTGGGCTTGTCGGGCTGAGGGGGGTTGGAGCTGTGTGGCTCGTACGGCTCGGGCGGCTGGCCTGATCAAGGCGCACACACCGCAAATGGCCGGTGACTGCCCCATCTTTACGAACAAACGTCCACACTCCACACTCGATGGCTCTTTGGTGCGAAAGGTGGTCGTCCACGGCGGTCTTGCAGCCACTCTGCACAGTTCTCACCCGGCCTCCTCCTGTTTCTCTGCCTCAACCGCCTCTGTCTTCAGCGGTGTCGGGGAAGAGCGCTTGTTGCTTGGCGTACCTTGGCGTCTTGCTTGCCAATGCGCCCGCTCGAAAGCCATGCGACAACATGTGCCCAACTGGCCACAACAAAAGGCTAAAATGCCAGGCCCTGGCAAGGGGACCGGGGAAACCGAGAAACCGACTGTCATGCAAGTTGTGGGGACGGAAAGGCCATCAAGCACCATGGGCCATGGGCCTGGCCACGTTGGCAGAACGAAACCGTTGCAAACATGGTGAATGCAAGTAGCAGAAACTCCTCGATGGAGCAAACCCACATGAAATCCCAGAAAAAGAGGGCCGTCCACTTGCCGCTCAGGCTCTGTTGTTGCTCCCTGGGGCCGTCGCCTTGCAAGAGGCAGGTTCGTTCATTGCAGGGAGTGGCACCTGCCATTTTCAATTTGACAGTACTTCCGTGCCTAGCAGGCGGTCCATGAAGCGTGAAACCGAGCTTCCGATCCAACCACGCAGCCATCAGCTGTCTACCCGAACCAGCCTGGACCAGCCAGCTAACCCAAACGCCGCCCCGCTGCGCCTTGGAGGCCGTCCGACTTGCTGCCTGGCCGGTCTCCTGGCCTTCGCCTTGCAAAGACGTCGCGAGGTCTCTGTAGTCACCACCGTGTTGCTTGCGGACTTCCTGCTCACCATATGCTATGTTGAGAGATCCAGCAATCAAGAGCTCCCCCCTCCCCGTCTTGGAAACTGCTGCCAAACTGCAGTGACTATGCCACCTCTCCCCCCTGCAAACACATATGCACATGATGGGGACATCCGGGGGTTAGGAGACAAAACGCTGCCCAGGGGAACTTGTATGCAGCAGCAGGGCCCACGTGAGAAACACAAAAGCGGGGAGGAATCACACCCCTTCACTTTCTCCCAGGGCCTGCTCCAATCACCCCTCCAACCCCTCCGCCCCTCCAGCCAATGAGAGGAGTTCCCTTGGAAATGTTTGCTGCCCAAGCTGCCGGTGCTGTCTGGGCCAGCCACCTCGTGGCGCGCACCGCAACAACAAGTCCCCATTCCCTCAATCAAAGATTGGCGAACGCGTGCCAACCGAGCCCCGAAGCAAAACAACGAAGCATTGACAGCTTCGCTGGCTTGCCTCGTTGATCACGCCCGGCTCTGTCCTGCTGTCGCCTGAGGCTTGCGTTGCAACACAAACGGCCAGAGCCTTTGCGAGTATGAAAGGTCCTGCCACATTCCCAATTGCAAAGGAAGACCTTTGACAGTGCAAAGAGGCCACTGTCCAACTAACTCAACCTCCCCGGGCACTGAGAGCCGAACCCATGAAAGATGTTGGGGACTTCCCTGACCCCGGCGTTCCTGCTGGGGAGGATGCCGATGGGGCCGCTGGGTCGGACGTGTGAGAGGCTGCATCCTCCCCGTCCACCTGCACGTACGAAAAACCCGGCGCCGCTTGGGGGGTGTTGCAACTACTCAGGCAAACTCTGGTCACTTGAATGATGCGTTTCGTCCCCTAAGCAGAACTGCCCCACCCAGCTACAGGAGCGTGCCAACAGCGCTCGGGAAGGAAGGGCAAACCTTGGGAGACCCGGAATGCCCTGCCAAGCTTGCGTGCTCCCACCCAGTGTTCCAGAATCCTGGAAACAGAGCTGAGCTCATGTGCCGACCGGCAGGTGAGAAGCTCAGAGCTTTGCTTCGCACAGAACCCAAGGTTGCCAATAAGCTTAGACTGATGCCCTGTTTGGCTGCCGACTCACATCAACTTGTTTCTCTCAGAAGCCATGAAATGCTGAAGATCCTCATGGTTTGAAGCCTGCCACCACTCCTGTCATAGGAGCCT